CTTCCATCCTGTGGAGTTGAGTGGTGTTGCTGTTCTTCTTTCATCAGGGACAGTCTCAGAATATATGACCCATTCCCCTGCAGTGGAAGCATTTGCCCTGATTCATCAGTTCCTGTCATGCATTGCCATCAAGTTGAGTGCTGCCTGAGCTGTTGACAGTCTTAGAGGAGTTGGTGTTGGAGTCATTTTGAGAGCTTCAATTAAGGTTACAGTGCTTGATCTCCTGAGCATTGACATTCAAGGACTGGACTACTGTGCCCACATAAGCTGTGAAGTCATTGAAAGTCTTATCATCACCAATGTAGGGAAGAGCCAGCTCCTTGACCTTGTCAGTGAGGCATCAGTTGAGCTCAATCTTGTATCAGTCATCAGGGATTCCGGCTTCACTCACCAGCAGTAGGAATTTGGCCAGGAACTCAGGGAACTTGTCACCAGGATGCATATACATTGTCTGGAGTTCAGCATCAGCCTCCATATGTTGGTGGGGGTTCCAGAATGCAGTAGTGAGGGTCTTGAACATCTGTTCAATGCTGGTATATGGGTCAGTGGCATCCTCATGCAATCTGACACTCAATTGCTGTTGTGCTAGACTGCTGGTGTGGGAGACAAGGTAGACTCATTTCATCTGGTTGTTATCAAAACAGTCTGCATTGGCCATGAACTTTCCTTTCATCTCAATCATCCAGTCCTCAAACTTAGGCTCCTTGCCATCAGTGAGGAGTGGAGGATCAGGCACCTTCTCTGACTTGCTCAATTGCTTGGTGCTCTCCACAGTGGAACCATGGGAATGCAGCTGCATCTCTGCATAGGCTGTCTTGTACTCATCCTGTTCTGCCATCAATTCATCAATCTGGTTCCCTTTGTCCTGAAGCTCATTGTGAAGGTTCTGGACAAGCTCTTCATCCATCTGCTTGCAGTATTCATTCTTGAGGTCAATGAAGCAGTGGAAGGTGTCAGCAACATAGTCAAATAGTTCATCAGGGTGGTCACAGCACTGTGCTAGGAACTCTTCATGGGTGATAATCTTTCGACCCTGTTCTTTCATGTCCAGAGTCACATGTTGGCTCTGGGTTCATTCAGTGGCATCTCATGCCATCATAACTGGTTCAGTTCAGTTCATTCAATTCAGTTTGTTTGGTTCAGTTTGGGGTGGCTCTCTATCACAAGCGTGTGGATCTCTCTGATGGAGTCCTAGCTGTATGTGCTAGAGAGGAAGTTGTAAAGAAAAGAATAAGAGTGATGTTAGAATTATGTGACAGTCCTGAGCAATATGAGTATATTGGTAGATTATCTGACAAAATTCTAACATGAGGAGAGAAAAGGAAAGAGGCAGGCCTGCCAGCAACGAGCTATCTAATGTGTGTGAAGGGTTTAAGCGAGGCTCAGTGACTGTCCATGCTCAGTGAATGTCTATGCTCCGTGACAATGACAAGAATATTAGTTCTGGGGAAAAAGGGGAAGAGGAAATCTATTTAGAAGAAAAAGGGATTTGTGTTTGTGTGGTTATGTTAGTGCCCTGTTGTCTTTGGCATGCTGATATTGTTTGTCTTTAACCTTGTATCAACTGTTGACGCAGTGTTGGCTGTTGAGCTGTCAGCCTGTCACACTGTTATGAGCAGAATATGTAAATTACAGTGGTTTGTCAGCAGCATAAAGATTATATGATAATCCAGAATGGGATAGCTTAGCGAGATTTATGCTAGTGCGGTTACCCATTGGTTACCCATGGGTAACCAACGGTTAATCACTAACTGCAAATTTGCGGTTGCGGTTAGCAAAGTAGCAACTACATTTGTGGTTAATCTGCAGTCTACTCCTTCCTCATCCCAAGCGCTTCCTCAACGCGTTGCCGTGCTTGTAGTATCTTCTTTGCATCATGTTCAGGGAGCTGTGTTGGGGTTAGTTGAATTGTTCATCCATATCCTTGCATGTGCACCTACCACAATACATCTGCTACGTTTGTCTGAGCAATATTAGCACTTTGTTCGACGAGGGCCGTGTGGAAAGATACATGGTGGGAGATCATCCATGCTCCGTTGATCCCACAGCTTGGAACAGCGGATACAGAGTTTGTTGTCTCGCCGCGGACGTACCTGACGCTGTTGACGAACAGTCACCTTGACATGACTCCTGTTAGAGATCTGTACGGTGATGCTTGATGTACTTGACCTGGACCGCCTCCCCTGGGATGTCTGTGATTGACTTCGGCTTTGGCAGCCATCATGACTCCTTGTCAACTACTGTGCTCGGTATGATTTCATAGGCACTATTCGGAGTGAATAGAGGAAGAACTCTGATTCTAGATATCTATCTATCGTAAGGCCTTTTTATACACAATCTGGCGGCCGTCAACTAAACGCAAAAGGGAAGGTTGTTGCGAAGAAGTTCAAAGAGACAAAAGGAGTACAAAGTGCATAATGCATGTATGCGCTGGCCATAGTCAAAGGATGCTGGCTGCATTGCCGTAGTTCCCTGATCCTATCATCTCTCCATCATATCCTCTGTGGATACGATTTGGCATGGATAAGAATTATGTCGTAAATAGGCGGGCAGGCTGGGCTCTGATTGGTCAGTCGGAGCAGCGAGCATATCAATCAGTGTTCAGTATATATGGAAGTCAACACAGAGGGACCGGCAGCAGGGCCTACAGGGCCTGGTCAACAAGCAAGCCCGGGCCATAACAGGAGCATTCAAGACTACACCAATTGGGCCCTTGATACGGGAGGCAGCCCTAGAGCCAGCATCCAGCCTATTAGATGCCCGCCAACGATCATATGCAGTCCGACTAATGGGCCTACCAGAGACCCAGCCGGCCCGGGAAATCCTCCCATCACTTTCCGGGAAGGAGACCGCCATGCGCAGCCCGGGGAGCAACCAATTGAGGACCGGGCCTGGGCAAGAGACCGCCCCCAGGGCCCCTGGGACAGTATCTGGCATGGAAGGTGAATCAGACCATGGCAATAGACCCCTCTGGGGGCTTTGAGCAGGCAGAGTCCGAAGGCAGGGGCTTCCCAGGGACAATCACGATCCCCCCAGGCTGACCAGGCCAGGGCGGAAGCCCAAAGGATGCCCCCAGAGGGAACCTTTTGGTCTGATGGCTCAAGATTGAAAGATGGCCGCGTGGGTGCACAGCTATCAAATCAAATGGCAAGCATTCCATACCTATGATAAAATCAGCGGGTGAGCAGATAGTGGACAACGATGCCTTGACCCTGAAAGCTTTCGCCATTAGAGTTGCATTCGGCGCGGTTTGGCGCGGATGGAGGGTGCCCTCCATCCACGCCGCGTGGATTTTGGATGCTCAGGCTTGGATCCGCATCCGCGCCAAAATCCGCGTGGATTGGCGCGGATTAAGCCGCAAAAGCCGCAAGATTCCGCGCTATGCCTATTTAGGCATACACTAAACTAACTGCAGTTAAAGTCGGATTGGATTGGATTCGGATTCTCCAAAGTCCAAGCCGCAATGTAATCCATGACAGACATACAACAGCATCAAGAATTGACTATAATCAATG